CTATAGAATGATAGGTTTCTTTTTTGTGAGTGTAAAACACTTAAATGCACCATTTCGAATACTGATATCTCTTTAATGAATTTATTACAGACTTCTTTACTTTTAATCATTGTGAATGTGGAGTTCCTGATGAACGCTAAACGACAACACGTTGAGCCAATGAACTCATTTTACGTCTCTCTGCAGTCATAGGTCTCTTTACTTATAAAGTGTGTGTGTGTTTTAGGGCAAAGTCACATGTGACTATACGCCGTGTCTACCGCGGGGAATCGAGCCCCATATTTGTGCATTGTAAGTTTGTAAACTTACCGCTCACCCACCGGGAGAATACTTATAAAGTAAATAATTGGTGTATTCTACTCAAACAACGAAGAAACAAAGACTATTTAATTCCTCGTTCACGGCATAGTCGCTAAGTGTAAGATAAATAAATCATGCTGCTTCATTAATTACACATTCACAATAGCTCGAACGGACAACAGAGATACCTCTTGTGCATCCGTCCGTCCACAGTATAATTTGAAACTTTAATCGATTTGGGTCGACGATTATTGTTATATTATTATTATTTCAATAAATGTACTAAACGTTTATTGTTATTCCTCGGAGACAATATGTGGTGTTGTTCTGTGCTTTATAATTGTTAAAAAAAAAACATTGAATATTGTTAGGAATCACTGTAGTTTAATATGTACTGTTTCAGAAAATAGGCTTGCAATCTGCTGTGTCTCCAAACGATAATAATGTTTGGAAGGTTATATTTGCTGCTGCTCATAAAACTCAGATAAAATAAGGAAGTGGTGCATGCAGTTGGAAATATAACTTCTCGTACTGATTCACATATAATGTCAACATGTAAAGGTCAGTGACACTACATGCCGTTTGGAATATAACATTTGGTATTCTCCATTAAATACTGATAATACAGACTGGCGAAACGACGTCTACTTTGAAAGACGGCTGTAATTGCTGATCTACAATTATTGGTACGTTGGCTAAATGAGATTTGAAATCTAACATATGATACCCCCTTATTAAACACTGATAATATATGTCAACTGAAACCCGATGTCTAGAAATCTCCAGCTGCAGCTCTTGTGTAAAGAAGGACAGTATATACTATTTTATCTTGTTCGTTATGCATTAACTTTGCATGTTAATCTACACAAGGCTTAAGTAAATGAGGTTTGAAAATAGTTTTTTCTCAGAAGTCTCTTTTCTTCTTCTCGTTACCTTGAATTCAATATTTACTATATAATGTTCTGTTTAATATTTTTATAAGTAACGAAAGTAACATATCTTTAGTGGTCAATAAGAGAGGATAATGGTCAGTAAGTAACACATATTTAGTGGTCAGTAAGAGAGGATAGTGGCCAGTAAGTAACACATCTCTAGTGGTCAGTAAGAGAAGATAGTGGCTAGTAAGTAACACATCTCTAGTGGTCAGTAAGAGAAGATAGTGGCTAGTAACACATCTCTAGTGGTCAGTAAGAGAGGATAGTGATCAGTAAGTAACACATCTTTAGTGGTCAGTAAGAGAGGATAGTAATCAAGTTTAGGTGACAAAAACTACACCTTTTTTCTATTCAACGTGGGAAGTTGCTTGTAAATAGAAATATTTATTAATATTATAAGACATATTTCGTATCTACTATTGTTGTTTTCAATGGCTATACCTATACGTAAAAAATCATTCTGAATATTTGAATCATGTATACCGATAGTGTTTCAGTAACATTGTGCATGTGCACTTTTAAAAACCAACTTTCTAGAAAAAAATACTTTATTTCAGTTTTGAATTTCAAGCGTAATAGCTGACAAAATATTGAAATAGAACTGCGTATGATATAAAATGTAACTACTGATTTCGACTAACAATAATTGATAATATAATAAAATAGAATTGTGTGTGATGCTAAAAGTAACTATTGATTTCGACCAGTAATAACTAACAATATATTGAAGTCATATTCCATGTGGTTTGAACTGGTAATATAGTGAGGTGGCGTTCCGTTGGTTTTAAAGCTGAATATTGATTTGGAACAAAATAAATTGACAATATATTGGTGTAGCATCATATGTGCGTGGTTTAAATTATAACTGTTGAGTTGACCCAGCAATAACTGTGGGAAAACCGCGCCCTACCTAAGCATTTGGGGGGGGGGGGATGTAAGACGTCTGTTTAAAGGGCTATGTTTATGGGAAATTACTAATATACACAAAGTACAGGGTCTAAATTTCCATGTTTTTTTTCTTACTCCTCATAACTCTCTGGCTCTGATACAGTTAGTACAGTTGATGTATGAACTACGAAACGTTCATGTATTTTGTAGAAATTGGGGTTCAACTTTGCCCCCCCCCCCCGAGATTTTACTGAAATGGCGCCACTGACTTGAATCGACCACAAGATAATGACGTTACTGTCTGTGTGATTTGAAAGATATTTGACAATAATGATTGGTAATAATTAAGGTATAGCATAGTTTGTGTTTGAAAACTAAATGGTGATGGTCCGAAACAATAATCATTTTGGTATACCGGACAGTTCTGCGTGTAGCACAATCTTTTTTTTATTTCACCGACATCTACAAATAACACAAGGAAATAGATCTAGTAGTTGTATTTCAAATGGCTTCTGAAGCCTTTAAAGTAACAGTGTAAGTTAATACAAGTACCAGCATCTCGTATAATTTAACCCCACCCAACATAAAACTGTGGCTTGTATTGATTTTGTCTGTTAACCCTTGCCGTAAATATGACGTCTTGTTTTCGTGTCAACGCAAGCGCGTAAGGCACTGCGTTGCTCGTAAGTTTTTGAGTCTGTTCTTGCTTCGACAGACGGAAAGCAAAAAGCATCTAGCTGGTAACAATGGGTAGTCGTGACAGAATTATAGTCCTGACGCTTGAACTTTCTAATCTGCCACAAGACAGTGAAATATAACGTAGAAAATAACCTTCCTCGTGCGTATATCGCCCTGGGTGTGTCACTTTTAGGGTAAGAAAAGTTTGAACGCTTTTTTTTTGTTGTTGTTGTTGGTTGTTTTTCCGTCAAGCCAACTGGATAAACAGATATTTTACTTATCCGTGAGAATGTCTCCAGTTTTCATGTTCTAGTTCTAGTAGTTTTTCCATCTTTAACTAACTCTTAAGAGTTTTAATTCCTAATTAGTTCTACGGGTATGAGACACTTCTAAATAATAAAATTGTATCAATTTGTTATTTATAGGCTATGGTCATATTGTTGGTTCATTTTTAAAGATTACAGTAGATATAAGGTTATGAAAGAAGCAATAGGTGTATAATAAAACGTAATAATCACAGTTTACTGTTCATAAAGGTCATACTCCGCTATAAATTATGCGTATATTAAAATACACGTAAAGCATCGTGCTCAGGGTGGATTAGTTACGTATTTAGTTAAATATGTATATATTGAATTTTAAACAAACTTACATGAATACAGTGAGCTAACCGCATGCTGATGTAGTGGCGTGTTGCTGCAGATGCGACTCGTGGCGCCACGGGCGGCATGTTTAACAACTATATATATTTGGTTCTCGTTGTATCCCTGACCATTCGATAATGCAGTGCTGTTACAGTAACAACTCTTTTAAAAGAATGATACTCGTTTAGAGATTATTAAGCGATGCGCAGAAAAACTGGCGTAGCAGAACATTGCTAGCTATAGCTCTCATAATGGTGCACTGCTTTAGACTGAGCTTGGTGTGGTTTCGGAACTATAGTTAGAAATTGCTTTGTTATGTGAGTTTCTATGCTTCCATAGAGAATATTGAAGTCTCCCTTCTTGGCTATGGGGCGTTATGCTGGATTGGGTTGGGTTTCATTAGAGTTAATTCACAAATTACCGTAACGTATTTTTTATCTTTTTTTTTCTTCTGACATCCCACCTCTTGAAACACTTTCCATCACAGATCGTTACATCTTTAATTTATTACGCAGCTCTGACTAATGAACTCATCTCTAGCTCGGACCCTTTGCGTATAAAAGTGTTTTAAATTCAAATCGACGTATATTAAATTGTAGTAAAAGTTTTTCTGCAGACCTCAAATGCTTTTACTGTAATGTAACAATGTTCTTGACACTCCCTACCTCCTGTAACACATTATTACAAAGACTTAGACAACCTTCTTATATTATGTAACACTGTTCTTCACACCCCCTACTCCTCTGTAACAGATCATAATACAGGCATAGACATCCTCTCACCTCCCATAGCGTTACATAATTTTTAAATAACCCCCATAGCCACGAATGGAAGCTTCAGTATCCTCGATAGAAAAAGAAAAATTCGCACAGCAGAGCATTGCTAGCTGTAGCTCCGAAATCACACCCAGCTATATGTACCAACGCCCCATAGTCAAAAAAGAAGGCTTCAAGTGGTCTCCATGGAAGTGGGAAAAGTCGCAAAGAAAAATATTGCTAGCTATAGCTCCGAAATCACACCCAAATATGGAGCAACGCCCCATAATGAAGAAGGCCTCAGTGGCCTCCATGGAAGCGGAAAAAGTCACAAAGCAAAGTATTGCAAGCTACAGCTCCAAACCACACCAAACCCATTCTGGAGCAACGCTCTCAACCCATAAGTGAAAAGTATAAGGATGCGGGAAAAAAAAAACACTGCTCCAAAAACCCATTACAATGAAACTTAGTATATCTCCAGCTACTGTTACAAGATAATAAACAAAAGTTTGAAATTAACTAAGGCACACTTCGAAATCAACAGCTGTTGTCATGAAAGTATAGATGATTGAAGAATCGCGGGTTTTCCATTTGACGGATGCCTCCTTCTGAACTTCACAAATGCAACTCCAAAGGAACCGAAAGTGGCAGAAATTATAGGGCTTAATTTTATAAAACTCCTTGTGTTGTTGTTACTGAACGACGCTACGTCCCATCAATATACGATCTACTATTGCCATTGTTAGGTTAGTTTTTAAGCCAAGCGATGGCGCTTCGGTTGGTCCTTGCTAACTTGTGCGTTGTGTGTGCGCTCAAACTTTGCATACATGGCTATGAATTTAATTAGACCTAAAAAAAGCATAAACTGAACTCCATGTATAATACTTATAGACAAGTACATAACGTAATTCGTACCCTTACTTAGATACATTTTCTGTGATTGGCAATATCTGCCGCTTAACGCTTATAATTTTATATCATGCCGTTGTTTATTTTTCGGCGTGTCTAATGCCACTTGTATTAACAGAGGTGATAACATTACATTTACACAAGTATTACACTTGTAGAATAATTTGCCATTTCTATCAATAAAGATAAGAAATCGTATTTAAATTAAAAAATAATAGTTTGTTTGAATTTCGCGCAAAGCTACACGAGGGCTATCTGCGCTAGCCGTCCCTAATTTAGCAGTGTACGACTAGAGGGAAGGCAGCTAATCATCACCACCAACTCTTGGGCTACTCTTTTATCCACGAATATTGGAATTGACCGTCACATTATAACGTCCCCGCGGCTGAAAGGGCGAGCATATTTGGTGTGACGGGGACCCGCAGATTACGAGTCGAGCGCCCTAACCACCTGGCCATGCCGGGCCCAAAAAATAATAGTACAAATTACTTTGTGTTATATAAGCAGATTTAAGTTATTCCAAAAATAGTTCCCTGTAGGGTTTACACTCTAATAGAAAAGGCCTTTTTTCACTCTTGTGACATTTTATCACAATTTGCTCCCTGAACTCCAGCGTACTGTTGTGTTTTTTCTTTGCTTAAATGTAGTCTTGGAGATCCACGCCTACGTTCAGCGGAGAATTTATAGCAAAATACGTCAAAATGTGTGGTCTAAAGACGATCTAATCCTTGTGGTGTCAAACAATAAATAGTACATAATAGTAGTGGCCATCAATATGAACACTATTAACCTTAGAGAAAGTTCCAGTCCCCCAGTGGCACAGCGGTATGCCTCCGGACTTACAACGCTAGAAACCGGGTTTAGATACCCGTGGTGGGTAGAGCACAGATAGCCCATTGTGTAGCTTTGTGCCTAACTTAAAAAAAAACTTAGAGAAAGTTCCTATCGTGTGTGGATTAAGAAATAAAATTAGGTTTCGAACCATCATTTGTTTCACCTGTTTGTTTTTTTTCAAATTAAAGACATAAGTGCTGTAATTTGGGTCATCTAAGCACATGGTATTTTTTTACTTATTGGATCGTGATCACTAGAGAGTCATTCCACCAAATTAGACGTCTCTGTACTGTATTATTTTCACATGGTTTTGAAGTTGACTGCAGGTGACGGTGACTTGTTGGTTTCAGTAATTAACACAAAGCTACACAAGAGACTATCTGCACTAGGCGTCCCTAATTTTGAACTCATAAATTAGAGGGAAGGCAGCTAGTCAAAAGACTCGCCGCCAGTTATTAGGATACTTCAATCGAATGAAGAGATTTAACCGTCTCTCTTATGACGCACCCACGACTCCAAAGTGAAAATCATAAACCTTCAGATTCACAGTCTGGCACGCCAACCACAAGGCCACGCCCGGCCCGGTAGACATGACTATCTCTTTTAATAGTTGAGACCACGCCCTCCAGTTCTCTTAATAACACACAAAATGATCTAATAATTATTTTCCAGGCTCCAGTTTCTCAAATATACGGTGTTTATGAAACTTGGAAACTAATTTACTGTTACGTGTTTTTAGTCATTTATAATATTTCTGAATCGTTCAGATAGAAACGTGAAATGCAGCACTGTTTCTAATGAAAACCTTAAGTGATGACAATTGAAGTTTAAAATAAAAAATGCAAATACATTCCCTGATTTTTTTCTTTTTTACATAACTCCTCTTGCTTTTGCATCGCATTTTCTGTCTGTCATTGGCTGGTGGTTAGGGCGTTGTAAGTGACGGTCAATCCCATTATTCGTTGGTAAAACAGTAGCCAAAGAATTGGCGATGGGTGGTGTTGGCTAGCTGCCTATCACTGCTAAATTATAGACGGCTAGCGCAGATAGCCCTTAGTGACTTTAAGCGAAATTCACACCAAACCATTTTCATCGGAACTAAAATAAATTTTATTCTTAAATCTGTTAAGCTTAACCGGAGCCTCTCGAGCTGTGATCCACATTCTATGTTTCTCTGAGCTGTCTCTGCCCAATAATCAATGTCTTGGCCATCTTCCAATTTTGTCTTGACGCTTTTTAAGGAGCAGTTTCGCTTTCATTCTGTTTATTTCGTAACTCGTCTATAAGCACTATTAAATTCAAACAGTTTATCAGGCTAAAGCTATACAAAATGACCTACATAGGGTGCTTATCTATTTGATGATTTACGTTCGTTAAACCATCGTATTGAAACGCTTGTTTGTTTGTTTGAAGTTAAGCACAAAGCAACACAATGGGCTATTTGTGCTCTGCCCACCACGGGTATCGAAACCCGGTTTCTAGCGTTGTAAGTCCGGAGACAAGCCGTTGAACCACTGGGGGCAAAAATGCTTGTTTAACTAGAAACAAAAAGAAACTCGGCTGAAAAAGGTAATAATTATAAAAAGTTTTGCCGGGTGTGGCCTAGTAGTTAACGTGCCGGAGTGTGAATCCAAGTTTATGCAGTTAACATTCTATTGGCTCAAAATCGCATTTCGTCCTTTTGGGCCATTTGATGCGTTATAAGAGTGACGGTTGAATCCCTCAACTCGATTAGATATTAACTCAAGAGGTGGTAGTGGATGCTGTTGACTGCCTGTCTCTCAGTTCAAAATTAAAGGCAACTAGTGTAGCTTGTGTAGCTTTTCACGAATATAAAAACAAATATGATTTAAAACTTTTGTTGAAAGAGATTTAGCAAACTGTTAAATGTAAACTTGGTAATAATATCAGCTGAATGATACGGTGTAACAGTACTTTTCTCGATCAAATGCTATAAATCGCATATTGTTAGAAAGGCCTTTGTTCGAGGGGTCCGGATTGTAAATACTGGCTTTTCAATTCACAATCACCTTACCTGTTTTCTGCTTAGTCAAATTTTTCAATGCAATGAGTACGGTACACGATAACACAATATCGTTGTCATCACGTGACGACTGGCTTCGATTTCAACTTTAGGTTTTTGTATTTGCAAAGTATATCGTACAAACAACTCTTAACCAGCGTGTAATTTCTTTTAAAAAATAACGTTACAGCAAATACAATTTCTATGGAATTTCTCGACTTAATAAGGTCTAAAATACGAATGCGTAATTCGTTCAAGACCATATGCTTATCACTTTGTGAACACGCATTCAGACGTTTTTGCATATTCAGCTATGTTTGTCTTCATTACAACTTCACTTTTACTTTACTTTGTAATAATTTAGCTTCGGTTCGTTTAATAGACTGCTATAAACAACTGTTAGCTATTCTTCTCTTTACTACTGGTTTTATTCTTCGTTTTTATTAGTTTATTTGCTTCAAGTTCTAAAACCGTGTCATACCCTGAACGCTCATAACTGTTTCATACTCTGTACACTATTATAAATACCATTACTATATTTAATTGTTCACTTTACGTGTAGTTTTATATTAAGTAAAGTTACGT